ATCTTTACGTTGAAAGAACAGAACCACTGTTGATACCAGCATTTCACTGCTTCAATAAAACTAGGAGAATATGCGCATCTTCATACTTGCACGTTTCGTTCTCAGTCAATAGTGATGAAGAATTTATGACCCCTATAGACCCTACTCTTTGCGAGTCAATTACACAATCAAGAAAATATTTGGACGTTCCGCTGGAACAGCTCTCCTCTAGTGTATATGGTTCGGAAAACCAAATTCATTATTCCTATCCATGGTTTTTCGGAGAAAAGTGCACAGTCACTACAAACGTATATTTCGAAAAAGGAACAGTTGCAACTTTTGATGGCAATCATTTAATAGGCCAATTTGGGAGCATGGCACATTGTAACATTACAAAAAGCCAATGTAACCTCACGCATGGTACCGTTATTTGGACACCACCACCTACTACTTCAATATGCCGTTACGTAAAAGCCACTGAGGGAGTTGCCTATGTAACCCCTACTCATATAGTACTTAATAACATCCAATCGGCTTTTACTTATAAAAATGTAACATTCTCACATTCACAACTTAACGCATGGTGTTTGAATAATTCTGCAATCCCAATGGATAATGGTGTATTCATCGTTTTGCCAGAAATAGAGGATTATCATCCTATCATCTTATTTTCACAATACCCCGAAGTAGTGGATGGTATTAATCGTAAACACTTTTACAATTCGCAACTTTTGAATCTAGTAACAACCGTTCCTCAGCCTACTCAAAATCAATATGGTACTGACGATACTTTACTAAAAACAGCAAAATCTAGCGCGCAGTCACAAAACGATCAATACAAGCTCCCCACGGACGAACCAGCCATAAAGGAACCACATTTTACCGTTCCCTTGATTTACAGGCTCATACGTAATATGAACAAAAGATCTGTGGACAACTTAAGCCACTCTTCAAACATTCCATTTTCACGAAAGAAAAGATTAGCAACTATGACATCAGGCAATCATAAATCTTTAAACTCTTTATTAACTGGGACTAAAGACTCGATTTTAAATGATGATCAAAATCCTACTCATAAATCCACTTCCGATAGTGTTACGACAAGAGCTCGCCACTCCATAGAATCCAGCTTTCACGATTATGTCGATCGACAGAAAACTCGGTTGAATATCGCATTTCATTCAGAACCCGATTTTGCAACTATAAATAATGATCAGACCATAGGCCACGAACAGCGCCAAGATAATCGTCACGCGGAACCTAATACAAAACAGCCGAAGTTGTTTGAAAATTTAAATGTGAAATCATAAACAAGATTATCAATTTTCTTGATGATTTAGGACAATTTGTGAGCGCTCATGAATTCAATGCGGAGCAGGTGCATAAGGGGGAAGGAAGGGGCTCGAAGATCGCAGGGTCCGGAACAACTGCAGCGCGAATACTTTTGAATCGAGAAGACATATTCGCTCTTTCTGCAGGAGACGTATTAATGGTCTCCAAATGCAAAGAAATCGTTGTGGATGAAATTATTTCGATCATAATATAAGAGGATTTGCTATATCTTTACACCAGTCAGAGCTGGGAAAAAGTTTTATTTTATTCAACCAGGTACACGTGATTTCGTTAAGTCTAGCCCACGAGCTGACTGCGGACATTAACCATTTGGCATTTACAATGATGGAAACAAGTCATTCTGTAGTATAGAACAAGTCATTGTTCTTGTTCTGCTAGCCTGGAGTATAACTTCTCCCCTATCTCATGGCTGCGGCGCATGTCTACGAGTCGTATCTGGGCTATTGCTATTGCCCGCTGAGCTCGAGAGCCATTTTCAAAATGTTTCGTTTTTGGTTATCCGCTCTCCCCATTCAGTCACCCAGACTTACCTGCTATTGACTATCCTTTAATTCCATAAGTCGGTGCAAGTCAACAAGTATTCCGGTTCGAATACTTGGGCCTAGGTCTTACGCCCTGGGTTCGTATTTAGATCAAAGAGGCACCTACTTTGGCCCGCCCGGGAACGACTGCGGTCGGTTGCGTTGCCTAGGCTGGCTTTGCACCTTACTGTTCTACTTACTTAAAATGTTTAGTTGAGAGGCCGATGCGCTATGCAGTCTCCTCAACTCTCCAGGTATTCATGGGTGACTAATGGTGTTGAGTTTCTGTTTGTTTGATGAATGGTCTTTTTCATTTTTGTCAACAGGCATGAAAGTCCGGCTTCTACATAATGACGACTCGCGGTCCCCAGTTTGATGCCATCTAATTAGGGGAATGTTGTCTCCTGGCTGTAGCAGTTTTGTACTCGGTCTTTGGTGACTGCTTGGTTTATTTTTATTTCTTCGTTTTGCGTTATGTTTCGACTAACATGAGTCCTGGTATTGTTTTGGGCGCACCTAAAGTGCAGTTTAAATAATAATAATAAATAAATATTAAGTCCATCGGTAGAATGCCCAAGTGACTAACATTCATTTGAATTTACCTAATAATCTAGCACAAGAAGAATTTTATTTTCAATTCCCCTCCAATTTTTCATTCGGATCTTGCTAAGATTTCAACTGATCTATACCTTATCAAAAACCATCTCAACTCGATGAACAACTTATTAGTACACTGTCCAGTCAAAATCGGTAAGGAAAGAGTTACCAATGTCAGACCAGTTCGGACAGGAACTAACGGACACAGCAGCATTTCTGGAATCCAACGCAGGAGAGTTTCTACAATCTCAAAAGGAAAAAGTTCTCGAATCCTTGGGCTTGCACAATCTGGTCAGAACGATTGTCATCGTGTCTATTTGTCTCTTTCTTCTAGTAGCTATCGCAATTTTATATTGCCAAACTACTTTGTTTCGGATACCGTTGAACCTACTCTTTCGAGCCATAGGTAATTTAATCTCCTTCATTTTTTCCTCCACCTGTAAGACACGAAAATCTTCTCTGACCATTGCGGCAAAACAACATACCCAGGATAACACCGTAGCTAATAGTGGACCAGTAAGCGTGTCCATTCAGCTTCCTGCTTGTATCAATCTTCCAGCTGCTCCCCTGCCAATGATTAACCTTCCTGCTGCTCCCTTACCGATGATCAATTTACCAGCAGCTCCAGATCCAATAATCAACCCACCGTCCGCTCCAGTTGCGACATTTCATCAACAATCGGCTTCACAACCACCTATAATTCGCATACCGAAAGCACCACCTGCATCACAAGCGACTAAACAACAATTTTCAAATCTTTTCCCAGGAATTTCTTGTGTCCATCATGGAAACACTAGTCAAATGATTTATCTCTTGGCTAAACTCAACAACTCATCAATAGTAGCTCTTCTAGACACTGGATCCGCTCTTACAATCGTCTCCGAAACAGTCGCTAGAAAAATCAAGGCTCAGCTTTCTCAGCCCTTGGTTACAAAAGGTATCACAGCGAATGGATCCTTTATGGACCTTCTTGGCCAATTCTCTCCACATCTTACTATAGGAAGCAAAACCATAAGAATCACTTGCTATGTCGCTTCGGATGCCAATTGTTCTTCTCCGTTCATCCTAGGCAACGACACAATCCAACGTTTCACGAAAACTATGTCAATCAATTATCATTCCCACACAGTTTCTTTCGATAAGAATACTGTCCCATTCACAACACTAAATTATAGCAACCATGACCTTCTTAATCTTCCTGTTCATTTAGTCGAAAACATTACCCTGCAACCATTTTCAGACAACATAGTTATGGGAACCACTAATACTATATTTCCCCAGCATTGGGAACTCTTCACCTCTGATAACCCACTGTATAACATACCGAACGGAATCCACGTAGGCAAAACCCTCTCATGCCCAAACACTCAGGGAACAATATGTTTACGCATATTTAATTCATATCCTACCCAAATTCCTTTACAAAAAGAAAATCCTATTGCGATAGCAGATTTTGTAGGAGTAGAAATGCTCTGGGAACCCATATTTTCAGTATATCATAATAATGCTACTGCCAGTGGAACCCAGCAAATTAAAGAATCATCTGAATATATCCCACCTGAAGCTAACTTTGCTAAAGAATTACCCCACTTTCCCAACAATCAATCCACAGAAATCGAAAACCGCGTCCAAATCAATCATTCTATTCTGAATGAAAAGCAACTTTTTGATTTCCACAAATTATTAGATAAATATCACGAATGTTTCGTAGGAAAAGATGGAAACCTTGGTCGCTATAATGGCCCAATCACT